ATAGGAACAACTAAAGAATTTACGTAATGATTTGGAAAGTACACAAGCTGATTTACGAACTTTACGTGAACGTGAAGAACAATGGGATGCTAATCGTTTCCAACTTGAAAGTAAACTTCGAGATAAGGAAGGTGAAACACAACGACTTAATCTGTTGCAGACAAATCTTGAAAGTGAAAAACAGGTAAATAAAATAATTTTTTATACTCTTTTTTTTTTTTAACACTTCAACATTTAGTTTTTATTAAAAATTATATAAGTTTGAATTTTTTTTTTTTACTTTTTAGTCTTTGAATGAACGAATAAAAGAACTCTCTGGACAGTTACAATTAAGTGAAATAAAATGTACCGATATGAAAGAAGATATGGAAAGATTGAAAAGAGAACTTTCAAAAGCTGAAAGTGTTGAAATGGAACTTCGAAAAACTTCAGATCATCAATCAAGAACAATTAGTGAATATCAAATTCTTCGAGATCAAGTAAAATTTATTTCACTTCATATTTTTTTGTTCAATTATTAAATCATAAACTTTAATTAACACTTTATATTTCATATTTGTTACTATTATATATAATTTTTATACAGATAATAAAAATTTTCAGATAACTGGTGCACAAAATGATCTAGCAAATGCAAATAATCAAAAGCAACAACTTGAACATGAATTAACAACAGCACGAAGTGAATTACGTGATTTTAAGCAACGTATGCGTGATTTAAGTGGTCGAGCATCTGATTTGCAACGACAATTACAAGATGCTCATGCAGAGAAAAATCGTCTCGAAGAAAGATTATTAGCTCTTGAAAAGGTTTTCTATTTGATAAATATATATTTATTTTTACTAATTGTTAAATTGCTATTTTATTGTATCTTAAACTTTTTCGTAATTACTATTTTACTTTATTTTGCATTTTTTTTTTTCTGTTTTACTTTATCTTACCTTTTTTTTATCGCTTGCTTACCTTTTTATAGATATAGATATATTGTATTCCAAAAAGATGTAGTAAATATCTTACAAGTCACTTTTTTTTTTCTTTTTCCTTTGCTAATCTTTTTAATTTCCTAATGAAATGATTGTAAATTACAGGTAACATCATCACAAAGAGCAACAGAAGATGACCTTAGGCAACAAGTTGAAAGTTGTAAGAATGAACGAAGAACACTACAACGTGAACTTGATGAAATTCAACGAAGATTAGCACAGTTAGAGAATGAAAAAAGAACAATGATAGGCCAGCTTGAAAATACCAAACGTGATCGAATTACATTTGTTAAAAAAATTGAAATGGTAATTATTATCAAAATGAATTTTAAAAATTTATAATTATCAATAACTTTATGATTATCCTTCCCTTTTTTTTTTTCTTCTTTTCTAATGAATCAAGTAATAATATCTGATAATTTTATTTATAAATTAGAATTAAACAAATAGAGCAAATAAATGGAATGAAAATTTTCCCGTATTACTTTCGAAAATAATGAAATTATAGCTGGAAAATGAAAAACGACGCACCGATGCAGCAATCCGTGAAACTGCCTTACAACGTGAAGCTATTGAGAAATCATTGAATGCAATGGAAAGAGAAAATAAGGTTTTACAAATAAACTATTTATTTGTACTAAATATTTAGAGATATATTGAAAATTTGAGATTAATTTATTTATGACAAAAATTTTTCCATTCATGAAGAATCTTAAATTTTCACTTTGGTTTTTTTTTTTTCCTTTTTCCTTTAAAAAAAAAATTCTAATTTTGCTCTTTCATTTATATTTTTAGTCATAGATGATTAAAAAATTGAGTAAAAATAATCAAATATGATATTAGAAATTTTTTTTAATATCTAACGTTATAAATGGTAATTTATTATAGGAACTTTACAAAAATTGTGCTCAATTGCAAAAACAAATTGCACAATTGGAATTTGAAAATGGTAATCGTATCATTGAAATTAGTAGTAAACAACGTGAAGAACAAGATAAACAATTACAACGAATGAGAAATGAAAAAATTCAAGTATGCATTAATATATGCAAAATTTTATTAAATTTTGAAAAATCATAATTTTTAATATATCATTAAATCTTATTATATATGTTGAAAAAAATAAAAAAACCTCCCCCCTTCCATTCAATAATATATTCTATTCTGAATAAAAAAAAAAAAAAAAAAGAAAAAGAATTTATTAATGTTTTTTAATATATAAAAAATATAATAATATCAAATATATGTATATTTTTAAATTTTAATAAATATATATATTTAAGATCGAACGAATAATAGAAAATCGTGAACGTACACAGCAAAACCGTATTAAACAATTGGAAAATCAACTTAGCATTATGAGAGAACAATTGGATAATGAAAGGAGACGTCGCCGTGATTATGTTGATCGAAGTTTAGCTGGTGATATTGGAAGACTTGGTGGTGGCTATTTAGGATTAAGAAGTGCTGGTGGAATTCATAGTGCTGGCATATTACCACATTTAGGAGAAGATTATATGAGTGCAGGAGCAACGTAAGTATTTCTTTTTTTTTTTTTTCATCTTTTATTTATATTTTTTCCTGTTTTTTTTTAATTAAAAATTTTATAGTATATTTCTTGATTATTCTAGAAGATATATACGATCAACATTTGCTTCTAATCCGCTTACACCACCTCTTGGAACTTCTACACCAACACAATATCAGGGTTAGTTAAGAGAAATAAATGAATTTAACATTTAATTTTTTTTTTTTTTAAATTTTATTGACTACATAGAATTTTTTTTTTTCATTTTAATTAATTTATATTTAAATGAAAAAAGAAAAATTTTGCAGATACGCAACGTGAATCGTACATTTCAACATCATCATCATATCATCCATCAATGGTTGGAAGTACAACTTCAGATAAAATCAAAATTGAAACTCTAGAACCTTCAAAGGAAATTGAAGGTATTAATTCTTTTCATATTGTGTTATTTCCTTAACAAAATATGAAGGTAGAAAATTTCCTACATTTCAAGAATATTTTATAGTAAAAAAATTTTATAATTTTTAAATTAATATTTCTTCATAGCACATTAGTGATATTGTTGTATGCTAAGATACAATTAAATAATTAGCTTTCATCATTGAAAAATAAAACCTCATCTAATTTCTAAATCACTTCTTTAATTCATTTATTGCATTCGATTGCAAAAAATTATTCTTTTTTTTTTTTATTTTATAATTTTAGAAAGACGAACAAAGACAGTTATCGTTATGAAAACCAGCAAATTGGAAGATGTAAAATAAATCAATTAGAATTGAAAATTTTTTTTTTTATCAAATATGTTTTTAAAAGAATATAGCTTAGATTATATTATTAACAATAAAAAAAAATTTGCATTAACCAATAAATCTTTCTTCTTCTTTTTTTCTTTTTTTTTTTTTCAGAGCCAAGTACTCCATCTCAAACATCTCAAGAATAAAAAGAATAATTACAACTAATAAAACTTACAATTTCCATACAATTAACAATTCGAGCGAAATGTTGAACTGCCACTAATACTACTGCTATTACTTACTACTACTACTGCTGTTACTATTACTCTTACTATTACAATAACTATTGGTAACCAGTATGTTAGATTATGATAAAAATTTTCTTTAAAATTAATCATTATCATTTTTATGTGCTTATATTTGCTAGCATTATATACTAACAATAGGAATGGCTTTTCAAAAAACAAAAAGAAAAATTTTTTTGATTTTTTTTTCCTAACAACTGTAATAAATGGATCAAAATTCAACTTTTTTTTTTCTTATTCATTAATTTTTTTTTTGAATTCAAAAGGATTTTTTTTTTAATGTCATTTGTTCGTATTATGTATAATCATCGTTTTTTAATATTTTTTTTTTAAAAAATAAATTACAATATTTTTGCTTGGAAAAAAGAGAGAAAATAAAGAAAAGTTGATGAAAATTAAAATAGTTATACATAAATAATTACAGATATATGCATGATTTGTTTGAATTCAATAAAATATAATTAATCCTAATTCGTATTGCCATTTTCTCTCTTTTTTTTTTTTTTTCAAGTGGAAAAGATTTCAAATTTCGTGATTTTTTCTTTTTTTTTTTTCACTCATTATTAATATATGTTATCGTTGAATATTATTCATATCTAGGATGGAACTTCTTTTTCTGCATAATTTTTTTTCAGTTAAAAAAAAAGAGGAAAAGAAAAGCCATTATCGTTTTTTGTTCTTTTTTTTTTTTCTTAATAGCTTCTTTAATGCATCATTCACAAGCTTATATCATATCAGCTGCCAAATCTTACATAATATTGTTTCATCCTTTATATCATTTTTATTTTTCAAATATCAATGTTGTCTGTAGTGAGTGACGCCATTCTACCAAAAATAAAATAATCTTTTCAGTTTTTCACACTGTTATTATTGATACGATGAAAATACTTAAAATTGATTGGAAAAAAAAAGAGAAAAACATGCTTTTTTTAATAGTGAAATTACTGTGATTAGCAACTGTATATCAGATATGGACAAATAAACATTAATTTAACTTACTTATTTAAATCTAATTACGTCAATTATACTACTGATGGTAAAAAAAAAAAAAAAAAAAAACTGAAGCAACTAATAGCTTATATAAATTATTTACGAAAAATGAAAAAAAAAAAAAAAAAACAATCATGGATTGATCATGCTGGAGAGTGCAAAAAAAAAAACGAAAATAAATATGAAAGCTGGAGAAAAAAGGCTTAAAAATATTAAGGTATACAAAAAAGACAAAAAATGAATTTCATATTGAAATCCAAATTTATGATAAAATTTGCAAAGTATTCCAAAAGATTGAACTTTTCAAGCAAATGAAAAATGATCTGCAATGATGCATCAAGGTTCCAAATTACTTAAACTAACTCTCTGGTTACTTGGAATCGCTAACATTAATGCATTAATGTGAAGAAGTAAAGCATGTATTTTATAGCACACGAAGAAAAAAAAAATGATTTTTCAAAAGCATACCTGATTGGGTAAAAGACAGGAGCGCCCAAAGCAACATGGGAAAAAGATACGATGAATCCATTTCATCCATCTTGGATTCAACTGACCATATGGTTCCTCATTTTTAGGCTTGAAAACACCTATAGTTTCCTATAAGAAATGACAAATACTTCACGAATTTTGCTGCTTCATTACTATGATATCCTAAACAAAGAAAGGAAGAGAAAAAAAAAGTTATTCTACTTTCTGAAAATGATGTTTTGCACAAAAAAAAAAAAAAAAAAACCAAGGTATTCTACAAAAACTAAATGAATGAGCTATTTGGATATAGTTGAAGAAAGAAACTATAAATTACACACTCCATTACAATTCTTCACGAAATATGACCCAGATGATCCTTGCCGGATTCGTTCAGGATAAACTCCTTCACGTATTGCATGAATAGCATCACTAATAATATTTGCAAATTCAGCATTTCCAACCGAACCATAATTTTCATTAACTGAAAATTTAACATTCACATATTGTTCAGTCCTCTTGAATATTAGGATAAGATATGTAATATCTACTCAATCAATAACAATAATAACATACAATATTTCACATCTTCATCATCCGAACTTGATAAGCGATTTTGTCGATCACTAATTGATCCACTTTCTTCACCTGTTAATGCTTGAATTCGTCCCGAGAGCAATGGTTTTCGTTCCAAATTCCCTTTCTGAAATTTTAAAACTTTACTGAAATGAATGAAATAGGGAATTAATGCAAATGACACGACTAAAATGACATAAATAATATTTAATGAAAAATTCTACCTTCACATTTTTCTTTGTAAATTTGCTGATTGGATTCATTTTTGAAAAGATACCTTCCAATTCATCACAAATATCTGCTTCTGAATCTAAACAATATATTGTTTAACTTCGCCTTTTTTTTTTCCGGATTTTTATTGCATTTGTGATAAATTTTGTTGAAAAAATTTCTATTACTAAATAATTTCCAATAAAAATTCACCTGAATCTTGGCCTATTATTCTGGTCACTGATTGTGAATTAGTCGATAAATCACTCTGATTAATAGGACTACGATTACCACAGTGAACTTGTGAAATCCACGGTACAAATAATAAATTCATTGTTAATAAATATTAGTCGAAATCAGTTAAAATCAAATTATAAAATTGTCATATAAATACCACTGAAATAAAACGAAAATTGATTAAATTCATCGGTGATCAATGATCAGTTATCAAATACAGTAACCTTTATTTTAAAGATCAAAAACATAAAAACAATTGAACCATATAAACACTTCTTTCTGTTTCAATCAAAGAAAAAAAAGACATGAACAACATAAGATAAAGTATATTTAACAACAGAAAACTGAAACAAATTTAATTCAAATCATACAGCTCAAAAATTGAACCAATCCAAGAAAAAAAAAAGTATAATAAAACTTAAATATGATTTGAATAGATTGGAAAAAAAAAAAAAGAAATTCAAATAGTGTGTTACTTAACTGTGTTATTTTCTCATTATTTTTAATCAATTTCTTTTTTCCCTCTGCGACATTTACGATATAACGAAAAACAAATTGCCTTTTTTTTTTTTTTTTTTTTGATATTTCTTAATAAACGTGATGAGTCATATAAAAAAATAACAGGAAAGTGAAAGAAATTTAATTCAAATCACACTACTGACTGAAATTAATGAATGATTTGAAATTACTAAATACTTGATTGTGCAGCTCGTCTTAACGTCTCACCATTTCAAACTTAGTTCCGGGTAACACTTTTGATAATTAGAACTGATTATATTTATTAAATTTCTTCTTTCATCAAGGGCAATAATCTAAATTTTATCCATAACTTCTATAAAAAAAAAAAAAAAAAAAAAAAAAAAAAAACATATTACTAATTGAAATATGATATGTTCATAAATTATAATAATTTCATCTTCTGACAAATAATTTCACCTTATATTTACCATTAATCAAACTACCATACAAATTCAAACAGTTTCAAAAACTTCATTTTACATAATGACGAATTTTTATATTGCTGTTGCAGATGAGATCAATCTATTAGGTTTGTAATAAGAGAATTGCATACCGAAGGGTAGATAATCCCCCATGATGATACATGAATACTTATTGATAATGTCAGTCTATAAACATAATTATCACAGATAATAATTTATTCAATAAAATAAATTAAACACAGCTATAACACTAAATAAAGTGACTTTCTGACGAAAAAAAAGGGAGAAAAAAACAGCAGCATATGTTAGATAGGAAGAGAAAGAAAATAAATCGAATGTGCTTAATTATGTTCCGGAAATTCTTAAATAATTGATCTAATCGACAATTATTCACTTACATTAATCAATTAAAAAAATTTAATCAAACTGTGTGAAAAACTATGCCTAATGAATTAATTCATTAAACATATTCGACAGAGATGCATTTGTAATAAGCGAAAAGAAATTTGTCAATTTCATAATGAAACGAATTTGATAACGAAATGGCTATTTGGAAGTTAAAAAGACAGCAATATTTACATCATAAGGAATGATAACACAGTTCCATCTTTAATTATCACATGGAATATATGAAATTATTGAAAAAAAAATCCGCTTTCTACAATAGAAAATGGAATATTGCATAACAATAAATCTGTCAAAATGTGGAATTACTATTTAAAAAATTTAAATAATGAATGAAATAATAAGCAACTAAAGTACTGCAATTAATATAGCTACTGTGCTAATCATTATCATTTGTAATTTACAATGATAAATCAATCAAACCACGATTCACAAAAATCTCTAACAGTGAAGATCTTCCACTACTACAGATCTTTATGTTTACTTTGAATACTTTCGCAACATTTCGCATTCCTTTCAAAACAACTTAATTTCTAGCAAAACTGGAAGAAACTTTTCAACACTCCAAAACATATACCATAACATACCAATAAAATAAAATTTAGCACCTCATACATTATCCAACCATTCTTTTAGTTTCAATATCACCGTCTATAGCTTTACAAAAAATACAATTAATTCTTTGAAATACAAGTTTCTTAATAATAATAATAAAAACCTAAAAATCAATATAAAGTATCTGCTTACGATAATTATAATAATAACTGATAAACAAATAATAATACAAATTAACCCTTCATAGTTGCTCTGGAATAAAGAAAAGATGGAAAATAAATAAACTTCCGATAATTCCTTATACAACAGAACTAACCTAGAAAAAAAGAAAAACTATCAAAAAGGAAAAATTACTATGCTTACACATTGATAATGTAAGCTTATTAATAACAAAATACATACCCATGTATAGTTAAAAAAAATTCTTTCCATCGTAGCACTATACGTAATCACTATATTATCATATAATTATACAGTGTTTACTACATATGTTTGCACTGATAATGTATGTATGCATGTCTTTTTAAAATATATGAATGCATGCAGATGAAAAAGCATAGAATATAAAATCGTTTCTTTATAATCTTTCTACTCGATAATTTTCATTATCATATGAATATAGGCCGAATTTAAATAACTAGTGAGGTTAGCTCAAATTATAACAACCATTAAACAAAATCAAAATTGCTGCGATAGTATGTCGCACAAGTGACTTGCAACAGTATCACGAGAACTTCGAACAGTCAATCGATACATCTGTAAATATTCAAATGATGAAACAGTGATCAGGAATATTATCCAAGATGCATTAAATTTATGATCTCAATATTTCACAATAGAAAATAATCATCTTTTTTTCTCTCTTGCATATATTTTTCTCCTTTTTTAAATTAATTCCTTATCTCTCCCACAGTTAAGTAATTCAACTGTTTAGTTTGTTAGCTAGAGTAATATCTAGTCTTAGAGTGCAATCTAAATAAATTATATAAAAAAGATAGCTGACCACAATAATGTAAAACATGCCCATCTACATTTTTATGTCTATTTATAAATTGTATCAACTGTTTGTCATATGACTACTATAATTTAAGTCCATGAACTAATGCGTCATGATTTAAATACATCGTTAATAGCCTAATAGAAGACATAAAATAACATGCACCATGAGCAGAAGAAAACATAGCGTAACAATAAATTCCAATACGATTAAAATTTTATACTAATTAGCATAAGACAAACACAAACACTACGTTGCTGTGTAGTTGACACCATATAAAGATTAAAATAGTAAATTAAACAAACAACCTTTGCTTGTTTATTCGGTTCCAAACGAATAAGAGTACCGATTTGCTGCATTTTCGTATTAACTATTCCGGCACAAACGTAATTCTCCGGATTTGGATCTACTTCTTGTAACAACCGAGGTCCAAAACCACTCAGCTTCAAAAATTACTTTTTTAATTGCCATTACATTAGTTATAATGCAATTTCACGAATATACTTCCGACTTCTTCATTTTTATTTTCATTCTTTATGAAATTTTACTTTTATAAGAATCCCCATGAAGAAAATATGGGACTCTACGTAAATTAAATTTCAGATCTTTCTTAAGTAAAATGAACTAGTAATTCAAAAAAAACGTATCTTATTTCATAAAAAAGATTGAAAAACAACAGAAGTTTGGTAAAAAAAAGTTGATAAATTACTTTTGTTCTAATCTGTTCTCGATCTATTGGTAATTTCGCAGGAAATATTTTCTGATTCTCTTGAGTTGATCTGTAAATAATGCCTGTTTTCTTTTTTTTTTTTTTTTTTTTTTCTAACTTTTTGATAATGCCAAACAATAAAAGAGGAAGTACATATGACGGAAAGATAAAATATGTGACATACTGAGAAAGTTGTTTCCAGCGAGTGAAGAACTGTTCTGAGGACATATCCGTTGGTTCAAAAAACTTATTGATAAAAATGGGAAGTGCAAAAGTCTTGTCAAAAGATTGCTGTCTATTGCTAACATCACTGAAAGTGAAACTTAGTCAGCAATGAGCGTAAAAAAATATTAAAATAAAGTTTAACTTTCAGAAAATCCCAAAAGTGCACATTTCTCCTTTCCATGAATATTAAATATCTATAAGCTAAAGATGATCTAATTCTAGAGTTTAAGAAACCAGAAGTAAATGATACGCCAACGTATTATATTAAAGTTACATAAACACTACACTAGCTTAAGCGGCACAAACTCGAATACATATAACACAAGCAATTTTCTAACAGCTTATACAAATTCCACTGAACTGAAAACTTACGAAAAAGTGAAAATGAGGTGAAGAAGAGGACAACGATGAAATTCTTGCTCGCATACAAAATTGATTAACTGTTGCACTTGTGATCCACCTGTTATCGTACTATCTACTGCTTTGCACTGCAATAAAAACTTCAATTCATTGAAAAGCACATCTAATTTCAGAACACTATTTATATTGCATCAATAATTTTTGCAGTATTATTCTTACTGTGACAAGAATTCTAATGCAGTAGCAATTTCCAGAACATCACTGCCGCATTAAAACTACCTGATAATGAAGAATAAAATAATACTCCTACTGAATTAATTAGACAAAACAATAAAACCAATAACACCTGTGCAATCAGTTGTGTGCTAAGAATTCCGGAGCAAAACAAGCTTGGGCTAAAATCAGTGAATGCATAATTAGTTTTATTCCCATAAAACATTCCTAAGCGTGCAAGATTAGCTCGGGTTTCTAATTTATATCCAATTTGAATCGTAGAATCTTCGTAAAGCACACCACTATTCTTTGTTGCGAACCTATAAGATAAATGCATTTCTTTAAAATATTTCATTATATTTGACAAAATTTCTTTAGTTGTAAATCCAAAACAGACAACTTAAAACTGACTAAAGTACTAACTTTAGAACATCTGGATAATTATCCACAGCAGGTTCACCATTTGTTGGAGCCATTGTCGATTGTACACCATTTGCTGCAGCTGGAGCACTAAATATATCTACTAGAGCCTTGGTTTCCAAACCGGGACTAATATCCAATAACTGGCCCGACGTTTGCTTTGTGTCCTAAAGTGAGACCCATAAAATAGGACCATATCTTGTCATGTAAAGTCTCACATACAATACTAATAACAACCAAATTACATTTAAGAGAAAAAAAACTTACATGATTCATCATTGCAGTCGGACGCTGCTTCTTTTCAGCAGCCTGATTTACAAGCTCTTCCACATGTGGTTTCGATTTTTTCAATTTAGCGAGCAAAGAGCTTTCTTTCTCTGGGAAGGGTGGCATTTCTTCCAGTATCTAAAATTCATTAATAAATTTAGCACCAATGAAAGAATCCATGAAAAGCAACTGATACTGAAGAAAAAATAATACCGTTGCAAGAACATCAGGAGAAGCAACTTTGGATAAATGAAGATATTCTACAGCACGCTGCTGCAACTCAGCGTCGGGATTACGCAAATTGTGATCCATGCGAAAAACCTAAAAATGGGAAAGAAATACAAAACATGTATTCTTTATAGTGCAAATAATGCTATAAACAGCGAAAATGCCGTGTACTTACTTCTTGAATCATTCCTTTGATTTCTGGGAACAAATTGCAGAATTTTACGTATGTTGACAACAGAAGGGATCTCGTTGCAATGGAGCATAAATGATACTTGCTATGTAAGAGTTCAAATTGAACTTGTGGGCTGTAATATAAATCCGTAACATAGCAACTACAAAAAAAAAAAAAAAAAAAAAAATGCTCAAACTCCACTATTTGCTTGAACTTTAAATGAGACAAAATACAGCTAATTCAACACGTACAAAAAAAAAAATAACCAACCTTGATCGAGCATCTCCAGCTATCAGATTTCCAAATTCTCCCAATATATAACCTCCAACCTTGACCATGTTTTCATGACAAGCTGGTCTCTGAAATCGAATTCCTCCACAAATCCTACTCATACTTACTTTGCATAGAAATAGAGACATAAAATGATTCTGGATAATCCATACATTAATATAAACCTCAATTCATTACCTGTAATGCTTCAAAAACAGTTTTAGCTGCATAGCCTTGTACATCCTCTCTATTTACAACAATTTGAATAACACGATACCAGACTTCTTCAGATACGTAATCACCAGCAATTCGTATCAACTTTAGGATGACATCTACATACCAAGTATAATCCGTAGCGTATTTTTCAGCCAAAATCGCAACTTTCAGTACCTGGAAAAGTAAAATAATTAATTAAATGTCTGAAATTAAATCAAAAAATAGGATAATGAAACGCCATTCAAAAATGAAACCAGGAAAGTACTAGTTTTACCATTTCTTCTCGAATCGAATAGTCAGCTGTTTCAAGATATGATAACATCTCGAAAACAATTTCTGCGGCATTTGATCTAAAAGTGTGTAGAATCAATTGTTATCTTCATAAATCTTTGTTACAACTATCAAAGATTTCGTTAAACAATCCTAGTTGCTTTCAAAAAATTTTGAAATTGTTCAGCTTACCGATCACACATAGCATAGAGCAGATCAACTGCACGCTGGCGAACTGAAACGTCTCTTTCAGTTTTCAAACTATTTATAATTGTTTCTTGATGTCTTTTTACGGCTTCATGTGAAAATTCTGAAGTTGCCAGTAAACACATTGATTCCAAAGCAAGGTACCTAAAATTATTACTGAAACTAGGTAGAAAAAAACTTGAATGGAAAAGGAGTACCAATAACGGATGAATTATAAAGAAACCTCAGGTCTCCAGGTGCACATTTTCTTATAAATAATGCATGTGCACGCTGAAAACAGTATAGCATAAATCCTCCGAATATAGCTTCATTAATAATCTTTAAACATCTACTTTAATTTACCATAGTTAGCAAGCTATGATTATTAAGCATATCAAAATGGAACTGAAAAAAAAAAAAAAAATGAAAGACGAATTCCACAATATTTACTAACCTTAAATTTGTTTCACGATGGGATAGAAAAGTGCCTAGCTGATTGCAAGCTCGAACAAGTAAACTTGGTTCCGTATCCATATGGATGATCAGAGCAATTGATTCAAAGAGCACTGCATTTTTAGCGTTCGAATGTTGCACTTTTTTGGATTTTGGAGCATCCATAGCTTTATTCAAGATTCCTTCCAAACACTCCATTAAACGAGACTTGTTGCTTGGATCCTCTGTAATTTGTCGCTAAGGTTGCGTTAATACACGTTGCGACCCATTATAATTATAACACATAAAGCTAAATGAAATTAAAATAAACATTCACCTGGTGGTGGATAATTTTGCAGCAATCTCAATAATTTCACACAAAGCCAGGGCGCTGGTACAAAGTAATAAGTATAGTCTTGCAAGTCGGTGTAACCTGCAGTCACGATCTGCAATGGATTTTCAAAAAATTATATAGCTGTTTCTGAAGGAAATGATATTGTGCATTACGATTATATCGCACAGTTCTGAAACAAAGTAACAGTAAGTCATCTAAAGCTGACATATGTTAGAGAAGTCAAATTGAAACGTATAAAAACCTTACTCGACTTAACCTTGAAATAGCCAACGAGATGCATCCCTTATATTCATCAGGCCATTTTTTGGACAATGCTTCGATTAGCGAAGCAGCTGATGTAACAACACCCTAAAAATAATTTCAGCTAAAGATTTAAAAAACAAATGAAAAAATTTGAAGAATTTAGGTAGAAAGAAAAAAAAAAGAAAAAAACAAAAAAATAAAAAAATAAAAAATACGAGCCTAAATTTCTAAAAATAGGCGATGGTCACTCTAAAAACAGATAAACGAGATGAAAACTTCATATACTGAAACTATACCAAATGCTGGTCATTTAATAGATGAACAATACGAGAGGAAAATTCGCTCGGCGGTAAAACATCTGGGCATATCCTGAACAGTTTTAACAGGCATAATGCTGCGCTTTGTTTCACAAAATCGATTGTATCCCTGAAATAAGGCATAAAATAGAATAGCTATGCTACTAACAGCCTTTTCTTAATAATCTGAAAAAGAAAAAGATGTAAATCCATGTCAGTATAAAGGTTAAATTTATGCTAGTGTTATGATATATGAAAATGATCCTTTACGAAGGGAACTCCCAGAGGCAATAATGGATGTAGCACTTTTGCAAATAATTTTAAAACATCAGATTTTCAAATCACATCGAAAAAGAATTACCCGGAAACCAGCAATTTGGGTAAATCTTGAGCAAATGCTTCAGCCATGTCCTTACTACCAATGTTTGAAATGCATTGTAATGCCAAATTAACATGAACTGGATTGCGTGACTGGAGATCATTTTTTATTGATTGAATAATCAATTTGATCAAATCGGAATTATTATTTATCAGTACCGAAATAAAAAGATAACCCTGGAAAAGAAATTAATACAAAAACAAAACAATAACTCTGATCTCAAAAAATGAAAAGTGCAAATAGTCCCTATATGAAACCAACAGATTCTTTTTATCAGGTGGCATCAGTCACTCTAATAGATTCCCTTCCAATTAATTTAGGAAAGTGAAACTTACAATTTGTTTCTCGGTGTATTTATTTGAACTTAATAAATTAGTCGCTTCCATATGGCCGAAATCAATATCATTGCCAAGAAGGAAGATGAACAGAAGTTTACAAACGTACTTCTTTTTCTGATAACCATCAATCATTTTATCACCTACAAAACTTAGTCATAAATTTTTGTGAAATAACCTATGTTCAATTATCTAAAGCAATATACAGATGTTAAAGAATTTCAGATTACTGAACTGCAACTTCCACTAATTCCGCTTTGTGAACTGGAAATATTTTGTAAAAAAAGGTATACTGAATCACAATTTTCACACACATAGTAGAAACAGACTGAACTCTTAGTGGAATGCATACCATACAATATCACTCCTGTTTTATGCATACAACTAAAGATTTTAAAAAAAAAGTTGAAAAAACCTTTAAATTTGCTGCGAATATTTGCCAATTCTCTGTTGATTCGTTTCAATTCGGCTTCCTTACTTTTACAATTCCGAATATCCGATATGAAAACGGCAAGGCCGCGCATTCCATCCCCTTTGACGGCGGGCATTTTTGACTGCTACACAAAGCAGCCAATACTTATTAGTTTTCACTTTCTTCCACCGATTTTTGCCTATGATTTCTCAAACAAAAACAAAACAAAAAAAAAAAAAAAAAAATTGAGAACTTCGAATTCTCTCCCCTTTCAAAAGAAAAAAGAGAGGAACCAAGATAATTATATGAATTAGAATGAGCTAAATTTTCCAACAAATTCTATTAAATTCAAGTCCCACTACAGTACTTTTTTGGTGGTGATAAGTTTTGAAATAATTCAAAATAATCAAACTTGAACAAGTAAAAAAAAGAAAAAAATAACTAACTATACAAATTGAACGTCCCAAAATCCCGGAAAACCACCCGAGGATCTCACAAATTCCCAGTGCAAAAAAAAAGAGCTAAGTATTGCAAGCACAGCGGACGTCGTCTGATTTCAATTCTTTTCGTCAATGTTTCACCCTTATATGCATCACATCGAAGTTATCGTTGTAAGATTTCGACGATTAGTAACAGCTATATAATTTGTTTATATTATTGTAAATAATAGTAATGTAAACAGGTAAATAAATGTTATTTGCAAACAAATGGATTATATAATAAGGGTGGAAGAAATGAGGAAGAACACATGACAAATGATAAAATATTAAAGATCGTTTTATTCATTCCGTATTATTATTGATGCTGTCAGATAATACTAAAGTAAACAAAGTGTATTAAATTCATTTGAAACAACTCGATAAAGAAATAGCATTCAGTAAAAATAACATAATAATTCTATTTCAAAAAACAAAAAATGTTTGATACGTATGAATTATCGTCTACTTAAATCATTAACAAAAAAAAAAAAAAAAAATTAAATAGCGAAGTAATAAATTACAAAAAATTAATTTTTTTAAATAGATTACCATATTATTCCTACAAAAGTTTCTAAAATGTAAAAACAAAATTTTATTTGATAATACGAATAAAGTAAACATTATATATGTTAAAAACTACTTATTAAAAATTCTCATTATTATGTGTGAAGACATAATAGTAATGCTTCGTTTATTATTATTTTTTAAATAATTTTTCCAATGAAATTTTTTAAGAATAATTGGCACATTTATGCGAAAAAATTACAAATTCATTTCTTTTTCCATTCAAATGAATATTATTTTTCATTTTTGTTTTGTATTTTTTCTTATTTAAAAAAAAAAAAAAAAAAAAAAAAAAAACGATATAAAAGAAATGAAATTTGATTTATTCATTTTTTATTTTTGCAGCATAACTAAAGGATAAGTAAATAAGAATATATGCAATGATGAAAGAATGAAATATAAAAGACAATCGATGTCCTAAATCGATGATAATTTTCTAACTAACACTAATACTTATCGTTTTAAAAGCATCATTTTAAATAGAAGAGTGTGTGATGTTTAAGATTAAAGTATTTTTGATTGCCTTTTTACAACGAAATTATTTGCAGCATTTAATTTTTAGCATTAACCATTTGAAGTATCAGCTGTCTAATCCCACTAATCAATTATTTCATTCGAAAAAAATTAAAAAAAAAAAAAAAAAAAAAAAAAAAACTTTGAAATATTTAGTTCAAAGAAGAAAAAAACACTGAAGAAAGAAAAAAGACATGAAAATGAAATTTGATTTTCATTTTCTCAATACTTCATTAGTAATACTAATGTGTGTATGTGTGTGTATGTGTGCATGTATGTATGTGCACATACATATATATATATTAAAGGTGAAAAAAAAATGATTTCATAAAGTTTGTTTTCTTTTTTAAATTTAAATTATTGCTTTTTACATACATTTCATTTAATTTTTTTTTTTGTGTTGATTTTAAGACTTATTTATTAGAAAACGAATAAAATGTAATGAATAAAAGATATTATTGTTTATTGGTATTACTGCTACCATAATTATTATCATTATTTTTATTATTATAACAAAAGAATAAATAAAATTAACTAATTAAGTAAGCATTTTATTTGCATAATTATGAAATACATTAATTTTAAAAATTTATTTATTTCTTCTGTTTCGTATAGATCACACGAGTATGCTCCAAATAGCCTTGTGCTGGATGTGTCGCTGTTCGCATCTCAATTATTTGCTCCAAATACTGATCGTCATGTTTGATGAATGTCCGTCGTAACTAATATTTGATAAATTATAAAGTTTCATTTCTGATAAATTATTATATATAATTTATTGGTAAAATTTCATTTAAAATGAGAATAAAATGAATTTAAATTAGCAATTTTTAAGTATATAAATTATTAACTTTATTTTTGTTTGTTTTTCTTTCCTTCCACTCATCAAATTTTATATTAAATGTAACAAACAAAAAAAAAAAAAAAAAAGAAGTTTATTTACTTAAAAAAGAAAAAAGGAAAGAAGGAAAAGTAAACAGTTTGATGAATTGATAGACAGATAGAACTTACATCTTCAACTGGAAGATCCCTGGAGAATGAAATCCTTCCAATATCTTTCAATGTTAAAATCATCTTGTTTGGTGCAACTTCACCAACTTCATATGTTGTAAATCCTATATGTCATAAATTTTGAAATGCAAATATAAACTTGAAATAAATTTGAGAAAAATTTTTTAAAAAAAAAAACATTTATGCATTTTTTTTCCTGTTATGACTTTCTCCCTCTCCCTCTTTCTCCTCCTCTTTCCCTCTCTCTCTCTCTACCTTTCTCTTTAATGTTTTTCAAACTATTTGAAATTGATAATTTTAAGTAAATGATATGACGACCGTTATTTCCAGCTGTCATCAATGTGGCATTTCCAAATGGATCCACAGTTATAAAACCCCATTCATCATGAAAATGATCTTTGGTCGTATGCGACCATGCGCGTGCACTTAAAAAAAATTAAAAATTATTTATCAAATCAAAAAGTTTTAAAAAAATACAAAAGTAAAAAAAAAAAAATCGAAAAATTTTTTCGACAAATTTTGCAAAATTATTTTGCAATTTTGTTCTTTTCTCACATTTATCGATCATCATGTAATTATTGCTGTTAAAATCTAATAATAATATTTACTAACAGTAGTAAGAAAAGATTTATAAAAATCAAATTGTTTTTCTTTTTTAGTAATTTAAAATTAATTACTTGGAAAGCGGATAGAAAGAAAAAAACAAAACAGATATTAATAGAAACATTATTGTTCTTACCTATGTTTATTCATTCATATGAAAAAATTATTTCGAAAAAGAGCAAAAAACAGACTTAAAAAAAAAAAAAAAAAAGAAGGAAGATAAAAGGCAAATAATCAAAAAATTTATAACCTTTTAAAAAAAAAGAATAAAAGTTTGCAATAAAAATGATAAATGATAGTGAATGATATACTGTTATAATGTGATAAAATTATTATTTATATATAATTGATTGAGAAATTGTTTAAACAAGATTAACACCAAAAGCGGAATAAAAATGCTGAAAATGAAAAAGAAAATTAGTATAAAAATTGTAAAACTGGATTTAATTCCATTCCATTCGATTGAATCTAATTCATCATTTTGATTTGTGTTAATAGTTCGTTGCTGCTGATCACAAATCTTTTCTATGCATTATTTGATTATTCAACGATAATTTTAAATTCATTTTCAGTTATATCTGATAAGGCTTAAAATGTTTCAGAAAAAAAAAAAACGAAGAAAAAAGGATGAAACAAAAAAAAAATTTTTAGAAAGAAATTTCAACCTTTTTGTAATTGTTTATGCAAAAAAAAGCAATCAGTCAATCAATCAATATGAAAATTAAAATGATCTTTTTTCGTTTTTTAATAATTAATTCTGCAAAAACAATCAATCAATTAACATTTCACATTCAAAATTTTGATTTTGAAAAAAGCAAATTTTCATAAACGATGCATCATTTGAGCACTGTTTTACAGTTTATGAATGATTTTTTTTTTTTTTTTTTTTTTGGGAGGGAGGTAATCAAGCAAGATACTATCATTTAACCCTTATCAAATGATAACTATACAAGAAAAAATGACTTATGATAATATGGCAAAATAAAATTCTGTTAATTCATATGTCTAATAATTGTTTTAAATGAACATTCATTAAAAAAATATTTCAATCACACATAGGAAATTGTTGATCTAGTATTCATCCTTCATTGTAATTAAATTTATTACCATTATAACAATTTGTTAACAAGGAATGTGTGTTAAAATTTACTTCCAATTAGATTTATTAGCTTTTCATTAACTGTAAATTATATTTAAATTTGTCTAATTATTGATATTCCTTAATGAAGTTAGCTAAAGTTAACAGTTTTTTCGTCTAGCTAATCTTCTTTGTGGCTTATGAACTCATCACTCATCGCTGATTATTGATAATTGTTAAACAGCAACTTTGTTTAGCTAACCTTCTACTATAAATTAATATTTTTATTAATAATAGTAAAAATGGATTCGGCATTCACAACTAAACTTTTTAATATTATTCATTAACTACGATCGATGATAATTTTTATCTCAATAAAATAAAGATTGATCAAACATCGCCTTCTCTGCAAAACAAACAACTATTCAGCTTCATAATGTACTCGAATCAAATCTTATTTACAACAATAATTCAACAATATTAAGTATCAATAATTTCATTATCAGATTGAATTAAGGACGTGAAAAATAAAGAAATAGTATAAAAAAAAGTCAAAAAATCATCAGAAAAAAAAAAAATAAAGAAATAGTAAAAAAAGTCAAAAAATTCATAAGTTTACTCTAAACTTCAAAATTTGACAAGATTATTTTAAATTTGATACCAATTTTATGAAATATATCATAAAAGATAACATTGTTAATAATTATTATTCGATTTAAAAAATATACCAATAAATATTCAAAGGAAGTAATTTTTACAACTGAAAATTGAAGTTTTTTATTCTTATTCTAAATTTTAAATTTAAATTTTAATTAAAATTTTGTGATTAAAAAAAAGTATTACTCTTTTGATATAATGCATATAAAGAAACCGTAATACTTTACTTTACTTTTTGTCAAAAGACTAAAATGTATAATTTGATGCAAACATTTTAATAATCAAATTAAAGATATGTTCAAAACAATCATATCAATGATGATATGTAATGATTTTACAAGAAAAAAAAAAAGAAATGAACATTTGTCAAAATTTCATTTCGTGAAACTGTTAATACATGTCTTACTTTCAGTTTTAACTTTTTTAAAAATTTAACAATAAGCCACCATTTCTAGTTATTAAATTAAACTATATAACATGCTAAAATTTTTCAAATTTTGTTACATTTAAAAAGATAAAATAAAAAGAAGAAACCAACCTAAAATTCAGAAATTGTACATTAACAGATTTAGCAAGTGGTGCTTCAGCAATAATTAACTCTTCACCAAATGTCATTGTTGGTACTGTTGGCCAGAATACCTGTTAGAAATGTATCAAACCAAAATATAATATATGTTTGTATGTGTATATAATAATAAATATGTAAAGTAAAGTATTTATATCATAGGTAAATATTTAAAACAAAAAAAAAAAAATAATAATTAAATAAAAACTTCAAATAATTAGTAAAAATAACTTTGCCAGAAAATTCTGATCGCCATGAACCAATGATCCATTCTAATTTTTGATTATTTAATGTAAGCTCAGTATTAGCAAATTTTATTAGTACAAGAATACAAATGACTAATAATTGTTGAATGTTGTTGGACATTTGTTTCCACAAATCACCACCACCTACAACTGAAAATGACGACGATAACGACAACGACAACAACAATAACAACAACAACAACAACAACGACAACGACAACGACGACATCATCATGACATACCATCATTATCCATTTTCTTTACCACTTCCTCAACGAGTTTCTCTTGTTATTCCTTAAATGGTTGATATATCATCGTATTAATGTCATATACATTTTAAAAGTTTTTTTTTTTTTTTTTTTTTTTTTTTAAAAAAAAGGAAAAAAAAAAAAAATAAATGAATAAAAAATAAAAAATAAGAAGGAGAAAAAAAAAAGGCGATAAACGAATCCATCGAATCATTTAAAAAAAAAAAAAAAAAAGATCCGGTTTTTAGTTTTTACATCTCATCAGCATTTCTTTATCATATTGAAATGAAAAATTTATTCTTTAAAATAATGTTGTCGCGTGCAAACATTTACAGTAATATAATTCATTTCATTTCATACATTGTTTTGTTTTTCTTTTTTGCTTTTCTTACCAATATATATTAGCATATTTTTGTTAAATTTCATTTTTAAAAAATTTTTTAAAGCTTTTAATTTAATTTTATCAAAGTTATGAAACAGTATTTTTGTTCAATAAAAAAAATAGCAATGTTAAAATTGGTAATGTAAAGTGAATTATTAGCTTAAAATTTAGTGCATTTAATAAATTATAGTAAGATTTCTGTTTTCTTTCTTGTATTTGTTCATTAGTTTAAATTTATCAAAGTTAAATATATTAAAAATAAAAGTTCCACTTTTAACCTTTTCTTTTCCTTTTTAATTTTAAGAAGTTTTAAGGGATGAATCCGGTCGATGTAATGTATCATCACAAGTTTGAGAAAACAATTTATTGTTGCATTTTTTTTTTTCATTAAGAATTGAATGAATGTTTGAAATTTTTATTAACAAATGAATTACAAAAAATGGATATTTATCATATTGAGGTGAAAATTATTTTATATTAGAATGAATATTTTTAAATATTTAATTCAAAATTGATTTTGAAAATACTGCGGAGGAACATGGCAATAAAATGTTCAATTACTGTCGTTAAAAAAAAAAAAGAACATATTAAATAATTTTTTGTCAGCTATATTTGAGATAATCAAAATACACTTTCTCTTTTTTCTAAGCTATTAAAGTTTCATTACAAATTCCATTCATTTCTCGTAGACTTTTAATTTTGTAATTATCCTAATGAACTAATTGAAATGAAATTGATAGGAATTAGAGTAATGGAAAGGAAACTATTCGGTTTGCTCGGAAAAATATAGACACACAATTGTATCAACTTGTAATAATAGCAATAAATATGTTTGTCAACTTAAACAAAGAAAGACAAAGCATATTAAATAAGCTTTTCTCAATTATATTTGAAATAATCAAAACACACTTTGTTCTTTTTTTTTTAAACTACTGAAGTTTCATCCGAAATTTCATTCATTTCTTGCAAACTTTTAATTTTATAAAAAGTTTGCATCCTTAGCAATAAATATGTGATATACGAATACTTCTCGAAATTAATTTCAAATGCTTTTCTTGTCTTCCCCCTTTTTTTCCATTATTGCTTCAATCCGTTGCTTGTATTAAGTTGAATGATTATACACATTGACTTGACTGAAATTATTTGCACAGTAATCTCATAAAGACATAATCCCAAGTATATAACAGCAGAAAATAGTTTAGCATAATTTGCATTCCTTTGGACAACTATTATAACATTTCTTTGAAAGATATTTTCAAATTCAGCAGGGAATATCCTCACTTTCATATTATATAATGCATGATGAATTTTTTTTTTAATTTTTGAAATTATCATTTTACTCCAAAATACATAAGCCTTATGAATTTCATGACTAAATTTAATACAGAATTGCAAAATACACTAATACTTACTCATCTTTTATTACTTTCTTTTTTTTAAAAAAAAAAAGAAAAAATTAAGCTTGATATTAAAGAGATATCAGGTCATAACACGTGTCCTCTCAGATTTAACTATGAATTCAAAAAAAAAGCGTAAAAATATTCTTCTTATACTTCAAATAACTGCCAATCATCACAAATCCATATTCTCACAGGATGACAATAGCAAAAATGGTACTTTCGATAATATAACAATAACCCGAATAACACATGCATATATCACCCTGAAGGAAATACAAAAGGCATTAATTTTTTGAAGAACGTTACATCGAAATTGCTGCACTGATACAGTCTTAAAATACTTTAGAAGTTGGCATTCTAAAAAAAGAAAAGAGAAAAAAAACCTTTCCGCAATCGCATAAAACATTTGAGATATTCCTTACAGAGTCATACAAACTTTTAAGTGATCTATTCATTTCAAAATAAGAAGCATGTGATATAAGAAAACCAATTTTTAAACTACATTTTAAACTCATATAATCATAATATTAGACATTAACACTAGTACAAGACCAAATTCCTATATATAACACCCTAAGTTAGCAACCAAATTGTATTTATCACACAATTAGATATCATACTTTTTTCTTTTAAATTATGGAAAGTCTAAAAAGTTTGAAAAACAATACTGCAAACTTTTTCTAGAAAGCCAACTAAAACTGTGGTGGACATGTAGTTACGAAGCCAACAAAGTATATTGCATTCAGTGACTAAAACATGCTGGTAATTTAAACATTTTTAAAAAAAATGGGACTAAATTATCGACTCAATTAACATAACTGAGGAGAATATGTCGTCTCTCCACTTTTCCACATATTATCTTCTTGGGCAACTGTTGCTCGGCACATTGGACAGGTATGTTCATTATCAAGCCAGGTGCCGATACATTCTTCACAGAAAATATGACCACAGGAAAGCTGTAAATAGTAATAATATTGTACATTGAAAAATTCAGACCTTTAAAATCGACGTTTTGGCTAACGAGCAGCTGCATCAGTAGTAGAAGAAACTCTTCACTAACTGCCTAACTTAATTATATTGATCTATTTTGTTATTCTGACAAAATTTCTAGAATACTTAGAAGTTATTTTACTGCATTCGTGCTAAATATGCAAAATATGTTTAAGATTTTGACAAAAAAAAAATATGTAAGAAATGCAAAAAAAAAAAAAAAAAAAAAAAGAAAAAAAACCATTTGAAAGGTTAAATATTTCTAAGGATTTAAGTAAAGTATTAAAAAAATAAGCTAGTCTAAGAAGTGAGCAAAACATTATGTCATCATAGTGATAGCAGATGATGAGAATCTTTTAATAGATTATGAATAAATCTTGACCTAAATGAATTAACATTATTGTTTAAAGAGATATACTATCAAATTCTACTAAAGTACTTCTTTTGCATAAAAAGAAAAAAAAAAAAGAAGCAGAATAAGAAAAATGGAATGAAAAAGAAAAAATAAAATAAAATAGAATCTTTAAATCATTACACCAAAAGTGAGGATAAACAAACCTTAATGGGATTGCAAAAATCATTGAAGCAAATTGTACATTGAACTGAATCTTCTTCACCTACTGAAACTTTCGAACCAACAGATGTAAGGCGAAAAATACGACGTGTACTTTCAAACCAACGCCTACCAATTACTTGTATTAAACATGCCTAAAAGAAAACTGACTTATGCTATATACATATATACCCCAATCGATATCTCATCGTTTCAAAATTCTTTTTTTTTTTCCAAAATAATACAAACATACCTTATAAATTACATACAGCACGGCAAAGAAATGATCACTGAAATACGTAAGTGGAGTAGAGAATAGCGAGTAACTTAGATAACGAGTCCACTGAGGTACTGGGAGAACGTAGCGATAGAACTGGCTAGTATATTCGATCCATTGGAAAAGTCGACGTAAACGTCTGTTCCCAATGAATTTTGTCGGCAAAACAGTGAGCTAAACTTGTCTTTATTTAAAACTGATTACTTAAAGCAAAAGTGGCAAAAAAAAAAAAAAGAATTAAATAAATGATGAAAGTTGAATGCAGGTACTAACGATGAAAATGATTATCATTTAGTCATTAACGATTGACAACCTTATCATAAAAAAAAAAAAAAATATTAACATTAACAGCTCAGAAGTTATGTAAATTAGAAGTCCGTTATGGGATTTTAAAGAAAGATTAGTCTTGCGCGATAACAAAATAACTTGTTATGTTGAAAGAAAAGACAAAACGAAATATACCCCAGCTTTCACTGTAACCGTGATGATTTTCACGGCAAAATCAACGACCAGTACAACATGTAAGGTGGCAAAAAAAGTGATCGGATTCGTAAGACGAGACATAAAAGCCATTGGTATATAGATGGAATCCAATCCTAAAAAGAAAATACTGCATATATATTTGAAAATTTATTAAAGGATATTTGCTGTTCCAACCCATAACAGTAATGTAATCAAAAATCTATCTTACCATAAAAAAGCGACTGGAAATTGAAAAAGAAAATTGATGATGTGAATGACTGCAAAAGATGAAAGTATCGCTTTTCTCTGAAAGTTGATGGGATCAATGAAATTCGAATTCATATTATGAATTTAGATTGCTGCAAAGCAGAAATTTCATTGTCAAAATTCATCAATTAAAAAAATTTTTAAAGAAAACAAAAACAAAAAAAGACTGAAGAATTACCGTCGAGAAGCCATGAAAGTGCTATTCGCAATATGAAAAAGAAGAAATGCTGCCGAAAGGCTTAATAATGAAAAGAATCCATCAAAAACAGCTTTAAGAAATATAATGACGAAGAAAGGTAAAACATTGAGCAGGACTACCCAAAACTGCAAAATAAAAATCCAAAACAGACGTATAATTTTCAAATAAATAGAAAAAATGCAAACTTTCATTAGCAATAATTTTCGATCTGATATAAACTGGAAGTTTTATAAATCACTAATTTTTGTTAAATCAGAAATCAGCTATCTGGAAAGGAGTTATACTACCAAATATGTCGCATTGAGAACTCAAATACTATAGACTTTAAACTTACCCTTTGCAGTTCAGCACTCTGAACAAGTGCTCTTAAACGATTCAATTCCCTCTGAAGATTCGTATTACTGGCAGCATCATTCGCAGAGGAATATTCTTCACTATTATCGGTTATATCAGCTATAATTAATGCATAATTTATATTTAAAATTACTGAGGATTAGTATTGAAAGGATTTGTGCAACTGCACTCAAAAAAAAATTTTTTTTTTTTAAATTTAAAAGAGAAACATAGCGGAAAAAAAAATAAACCAATTCACAAACTTGTCGATCTTCCAAATTCATTTCCGTTAACGTTTGGAGTAAGTCTATGCCTAGTACCCGAACCAGAAGAAGTACTCGACGCATTCTCTTCATCTACAACAATCACTGTATCTGCACGATCATTCCTGTTTTCTGAAGATGGAAAACTTAAACAGGACAAAGATTACAAAAAAAAAAAAAAAAAGAAAAAAGAAAACTGAAAATTAAAAGTAACAAAAAATTATTGGACAGAATCAGAAATTTCAAAATGTCATTATCACAAAACTTAATTTCACCACAATTTTTAATTTTTAGCCTTCCTTAGCATATCTACCGTGTTTATTAAACGACTGTTGTAAAAAAAAAAAAAAAAAAAAACAGGAAACGATGGAGCTATGATTATCCTAAAATATATTTGGAATTCCTCTAACCACCAATTACATTAAACGTAACGATATTTCCAAATATACCTGATTCAACCGATGAAATATTAGAAGCAGGTGCAGCCTGTGCCAACATATCCAATGCTGTTCTGAAATCTTCCACAAGTCCATTACGCATTTCTTGAGAGCCGGCGTTCTGTAATGTGAAGAGAATGAAATGGAAGAAGCAACAAGCACATCAACTATCATTTTGGTGAGATAATAATAGATACATTAGAAAAAAAAAAAGAAATCCAAGTCCAAGAGATATATTCGTGCCAGTGTTTGATCGTTCTGAGTACAAAAATGAAAAAGTAGAAAACCTGAACAACGGTCAAGAAACTGTCTCTTAAACTTGCTCCATGCCATATTGTTGTCGGTTGGGGCTCTGTACCTCTTTCTTCACCCATTTCATAAGACCTATATCTATCATCAAAAAAAGCGATCCACTTCAAAATTCATACCAAATCGGCCATAAAATAAATAATATTACTGACCGAAGTAAACGGAAAGAAGAAAATCGTGTGGACACAACCGTATTCCGGTATATAAGCCATAAAAAGAATATGCGATCGATTCTTATTTAGAAAAAAAAAAAAAACATGAATTGGTTTAAAATGTTAATATCCGAATCATAGCATATATATATATATATGTTATGATGCTAAATGGGTAATTGATTTTTGTATCTCGTTGCGTTAGCATTCAAAAAACATGGGATATGCCTAAATAAGGTATTTCATTTGTATAATAAACATTTCATTTATATAAAATTGACAGAAAAAAAAAAAAAAACACGAAAGAGGGCCATAATGAAGTAGAACTGTGAAGACGAAAAAGTGAAGCCTTTAAATTATAGAATTTTTCCGAATAATTAAATAAATGAAACATACAGAAAAGAGGTTCATAGCAAAAAATGTTAGAAACCAGTAGAACAAGTCCAAAATAATGGATGAAAAAAAGAAAAGAAAAAACAAATATCTTTAATCACGTACATGAGATGAATTAAGAAAGTGCATTCCTTCCCTCCCTTTCCTTCGTTTTCTCCCTTTCATGCATTCCTGAATACAAATACCATTGCTCAACTAAAATAACTTGATTTAAGCATTTGATGCAATTCTTCAAACTATGTATCCATCAACAAAATGACTTGTATTAACCATAAAACATTTCGTCAATTTTCAAAATTACAGAAAAAAAAAAAAACAGTACGTCTCTCCAAAGATATAAAATTCTTTACATACAGAATTAAAATTTTAAGGCTCAAGTAATTACGAAAATGGAGCAACCTCTGTATGACAATGGAGCAACCTCTGTATGACAGTAGTCTAAAAAAACAAGATTTTTAGATTGTTTACTGAACAAAAATCACTAGTAGTAAACAAAGTTTCTAAAAAAAAAAAAAAAAAGAATAGCAGCACCCAACGAACAGAAAAAAAAAAAATGCGCCAGTTTCGCAGTTTATAACCAGTAGGTAACTATCTCAAAGAATAAAAATTAGCTGATCAAAAATAAAAACAGAATGTGTCGAAAGCAATATATAAATTGATAACGAACACAATGTGAGATGCACTAAGCAATAAAACAAAATTAAAGCGATGAATAAACAGACGTTAATGCAATAGCGGAACAACAACTGCTAATTATATAAAATCATCAAAGCGTTAATTACAATAACTGAAAAAAAAAAGTCATAATTAAAGCAATAAGTGGACTGGTATTAATCACAGCATTAAATTGACTAAGTTAGTAAGGTGAACAAAATTAGAAAGAAACAAATTAAAAATCATTAAATTAATAACATCCCGGGTGATATGTAGATTGCTAATCACAGAGACACATAGAATGAAAGATGAATAAAGTAAGAAACTTAGTTAAAGTAATATATACCCAAAATATAAATAAAAAGTACGTTATTAGATAAATAGAATTTCAATGTACTGTATAAGGAAAATAAATACAGCAGACAAGTGTATTTGTATTTTTTCTTGGCTAACTGCCAATCATCATGGACACATGGATGAATTCAAAAAAAGCACCGAAAAGGAAAAAAACAAACAAGTTTGATAAAAATTATTTCATAAATGATCGCTCAGTGATTTAGTATTTTTTCTGTGAAGTAAACTGTTCTGAATAATGACGATAAGGTACGGGACAATCATCACTTCGTAGCGAATTCAAATCCACATACTGATCCGGTGCATGCTTGTAATACTTGCTTCCGTAATGACTTCTGCGGCACCCCATTTTATCCAACAGAGCTCTAGCTGAACTTTTTGATCTCATCACGAGGACTAGTGCAGATGCAATTGCGATAAACTAAAAATAACTTATTTTAAAATGAACAAATTTCATTATTTTGTATTACTGAAATAGTATCCATGAATTTTGGAATCAATTTTTTAACACATGAAAGAATCAAATATCTGTCAGAAATATGATGCATGTTTACAACATAGATGTTTACGATGTAACACACCTCAGCAATAACAACGATTGCAAAGATAACAAATGCAACAGAAAAACCAATACGCAGTGCAACCATTATACGATAATGACAACCATCACATCTGATGTCACATGAACGCGGAATATCTTGATGCAGAAATCGGAAATCACTACAACCCGCGTTACCTTAACATTTTTTTTTTTTTTTTTTTTTTTACATTAATTTCTAGCTGACGTTAAAATAATAATAGAAGAAGAAATTCCCAAATATATGAAAAAAACCGAAACAGGCTGCCAGCAACACTGAACATACTAAGATGACATCCAACATACCAAAATCTCATGAAATTAACATGTAAGAAACATTGAAAACCGATTCATTAATAGACTGAGTTCTCGTAACTCGAAAGATATCACCTAAAATTCAAAGGAATAAGTGGGAACAAAATTATACCACAGCATCGAAATGCTTGCTGTAATCGATCTAAGCTTTCCTGAACAATTCCTGCTCCTTGATAATAGTTTTGAACCATATATGTTAATGCATCCGACACTTCAACATCAATCTGCAAGAATATCCTTATATTCGAAAATTAAAATATCAGAGACTTTTAATGGAAGACTGTGAAAAAATCAGAAACTTACACCATATTTTCTGAAGATAAGATACGTTTTTGAAGAAATAGTGCACAGCATAAGGATGCATATTGTTACTGCATATATTAAGAGAAGTACTCGAGAATCAGTAGATGCACCACAGCAACCAATCATACTAATAACCACCATGCACATTCCAATGACAATCAAAATGTAGGAGAAAACGTATAAAGTGGGAGCCTACAAATTTCTCTTTAACTTTTATAATCTTACACTATTCTGACTGATTATTCAAAACTATCAATTACTTACTTAACTGTTAGCATTACGTAATATGTAAAATACGAGATTAAGAATAAGACAAAAATTTGACATCCTGAGGACGAACATTTGAAATATAGCAAATAAAAATGCCTTATGAGTAGCATATATCCTTGCAAAAGCATCACTCATTGTTTCAAATAAACTTTCGAAAATACAGGTTGATTCGGAACAGTTCTGTTCCAACAAATTACCTGCCAAAATTCTTCTTCTACAACATTCCTGTATCTCTGAGAGAGGAAATCTCTAAATCGTGAATCTGTACGAAGCCATGCTCCCATAGCTAACGATGCCGTACCAGCAACCTGAAAATACTTTATCCTCATTACAATAAAAATATGAAGATCCTGAAAAAATTTGTGAATATTCTCTTCTTTCCTTTTAGTTCACCAAATAACGTCACCAGCAAATTATCATTAAAAAAAATCTACATTCTGCTGCAAATACAACCGCTAAACCAAATGAAGCAATTAGTGTTCCAGTGATATTTTATTGAAAATTTGCATGACAGCAAACTGTTGCACTTCATTAACCAATTAATATTATAATCTTATTTGGAAGAAAGATTACTTAACACAAAATATTTACCATTATTATAATATTACACGTATATATAACATAGCATAATGATGCGTTAGCAATTGGTCTTGTCTCTTCCGAATTCCTGAAATAGTGAAATAAATACACAGATAAATTTAAACATGCGATCTGAAATCATATCTACAGTATTGGTACTATTGAATATTTCAAATATAATTTCGCCTCATGCATTATTTCCAGAAAAAAAAACCAATTCTAAAACCAGAATTCTCCAATGATATTATCGAACTGACACATCAAGAATAAAAAAATACCTGTGTTCCACAGAAGATAATGATGGAACAGCTCGATATGACTGCCAGGATACGCTATCTCTGTATCGGTCAGATTTATACATTCCAACGTTTTTTTACTAGTTTTTCTTTTTTTTCGTGAGCACTCTGATTTATAACAGTATCATTGATTTACACAATCTGCAACATATGTAAAAAATTTAAACATCATAAACTGAACTTGAAAATTCAAAACTACAAAATGTAATTTACAAGCTGTATTTTCGTTCTCCTTCTCAACAAAAACTAGTTCGTTATACTGATGGAACTATTCAAATATTAGCCTACTGAATTCCTAACAAATTTTTGAAACACTTTTTTCACACTCATCCAAAATAAACATGCAATAATTTATTCACAATACTTTTCCTTCTCTTCTTTTTTTTCTTTTTTTTCAAAAGGATAAATGCTAATTCTCAAATTCGATCGAATTACTCATCCTGAAATCATTACCTATCAAATTACCGCAAATCCAAATATTATAACACAAACATTCCACACTCGCTCTTCCATGGCCTATCTTTGATAAGCATCGTCTCGCTATGACAATTTCTTGGGTCCTAACTGTTACGCTTTTTTGTGTGAACGTATCCTTGAAATTAATTAGTGTTAAAAACTTTAGAAATGACTGAGAAGAAGAAATGATTAAAAATAGATTATTTTTCTGAAAAAAGCAAAAAAAAAAAAAAAAAAAAGCTTAAAAATATACGATGAATAGCATATAAAATAAATTAATTATTCAATTATAATAAAAAACAAAAAAAAAAGAAAAAGGCACGAGTGATAATGGAAAGAAGTATATCATGAGCATTAAAATTGCAATATTTAATTTGTGATAAATTAATAAATTTCAAAAATTGTAAAATTTGTACGAAAATTCTTATGCTTCTCTCGTTTCACTCAGCACTTTATCATTTCTTTTTCAAATTTAATCATAAGTGTCCGCGTATATGTGTATATGTATGTGTAAAATATACTTATAAATAATATTGATACATGATAACAACTTTCCTTTTCTTGTTTCAAATGATATAATGTAAAACACGATCATTTATTTTTTATTCCAAAATGATGAAGTATCAAATTCAATATATTTTTTCAATTCAATTTTTTTACATGAAATTTGTTCATCATAATCATAACATTTAAAATTTGTTGTAAGTTGTAATTTTGCAAATTTATTTCGATAATTTGGCAATACATTAGTTCCAATGACTGATTGCGTCATACGCATTGATAAATTATTATGTTGACTAATTGTATTCGTATCATTTGATAACAAATTATTAATTGTATGTTTAACATTTGAAAAATTATAATTAACAGCGGATAAAATATTCATTGATTTTTTTGAATCTAATTCAGTTTTTGACATTATCTCATCTTTTACAATCATATCATGATTTAATTGATTGATAATGGGAGAAATTAGTTGATTGATTGATAATGAGAAATCATTTGATTGTATGTTACGAATAGATGTGAAAGAAGTGGATGGCTTGTTGTTGATGCAAATATTTTGTTCATCGTATAATGATTTTCCAATTTCATTCAGTGATTTCATAGTTTTCTGATATGAATTCATCCCATTATTTTTACGACTGTCATTTACTGTTAGAAAATTCTGATCAATTATTGTTGTCATATCATTTGTTTCATCTTTCCTGTAATAAAAATAAATAAATATATAACAAAGAAAGCAAGAAAAAAGAGAAAAAGAAAGGAAGAAAAAAAATTTACCTCTCAAATACATATATTCATTTATTACTTGTTTATTTATCTACATATATATATGTTTGTTTGTTTATTTGTTTGTCTAATTAATTGGTTAATTAATCAATCTATTTATTCATTTATTCACTCATCAATCTGCAATGCTTTATTAGTTACCTATTAATTAAATTATTTGTTTATTTATTTATTTTTATCTATTTGCTTATTTGTTTGTTTACTTAATTATTCTATTGATTATTAAATAAGATAAAAAATAAAAAAAAAGTGTTATTTAAACAAGATTTAAATATTATTTAATATCAACAAATGAATCAACCAAGAAAAAACCTACTTTGTTACGAATAATTTTGTTATTGAATTATTTGATGAACTACTTCGATCCGTATGACAGCCTGAATCACATTCTGAATATTCACCATTTTGACATGCACAATATCTAAAACAATATTTTCCTAATCATTTATTACTATTATTTATCTCAGCCAGAAAGAAAACTAAATAACTAATAAACATTTAATTCTTTTTTAAAAAACTTTTAAGCTATAAAAATAGTTTTAAAATGTTTCATCAAGAACTACTGATAGATTTATTTAATGTTCAAAGAAAAAATTTTAGTTTTCTTTAAAAATTTAAAAAAAAAAAAGAAAAAAAAAAATAAGAAGAAAACGATATAACAGAAAAAATTGCACTCATACTTTCCAGCAACATAATGTGCAACCAAATAATCCATCTTTTGTTCCATTTCATACAAATCTTTTTTTAATTTTTGCATTTTCCATGCTTGTCGCATTACTGTACGAATCTTAAATGATAAACAAAATTATATCAGTCAGTCTTAAATTTCATAATATTATTTTACTCATTTTTATCAGTATTAATACAACGAGCTATCTATTCATGCCAACTGACAATTAAAATTTTTTTTTTCTTTAACGATGAAGAGAAAGAGAAGATTAAATGACGTATTTGTTAGTAATATACCCTAAATTGTAACTTTTTTTTTTAAAATAGCTTGTCATTTTTTTCCTTTTTTTGGAAAATATATTTTCTACAATTTTCCAATCATTGTTTAGTAATTAAAATTTTGAAAAAATTACCAAATTTTCTTGTCGAATAAAATTAAAAATATCTGAACACTGCGCATGTGTTTTAGTACGAAATGAATTCAATGTTGAGAGAACTTCCATTTCTTCTAAATTCTCTTCATCCCAACTATCTTCAGATTTTGATAAATTTTCCTCATTTTTATCTAAATGAAATTTTGTCATTAATTACATGAGAAAGAAATGAATAACTTAAAGTCAAATTTATTAAAAATTTGAAGTAAATTCAATCTTATTTTTATGTGAACTCAAATTTTTATATTAATTGAGAAAGAAAAAAAAATTTTTACTTGATACATTTCCAAATTTTTCTTCATAAGCATCCTTAAGTAATAAGCATAGATCAGCATAACTCACAATATTTGGAATCTTTTGATTTGGTAAACAGAGCAATGAAAGGATAATCTCAGCTTGTGCTCTATAAAACAAAAATCATTCAATAATTAAATAATAAATGACTGAAATATAATTAATTGAAATAATTGAATTGCGAAAAACAGCAGAATTAAATTTCAAATATTATTAAATTCTATAATTTCTTGGGAGAAAAGATGTATGAATGCTAATTGAAAATTCTAACACTAAAGAAATATGTATTTGAAAATTTCCAATTTATTAAGTGAATTAATAGTAATAATAATAATAATAATGGTGATAATGATAATAATAACAATAATAATAATGCGTCATGTATAATTTAAATTGATATTCTCAGAGGAATAAAATAATTAAAAACATTTTATGCATTAATTATCATTTTTTTTCATTAATTACAATTTTTGCTTTTAAATATTTTCCTAATGTTTTCTATTTCTTTTCTAGGCAAATATTTTAATAATAACATTTATTTTCCATTTCAGAGCAAAAAAAAAACGAATCATTGTTGATAAAAAAGTAATTAAAAAACTTTGTTCAAATGATAAATAAACATATAAAATAATAATGCTATTGTTCATTTTAAAAAAAAAAAAAAAAAACTACGATTTGTCAAATAATAAAAATAATTAAATTATATTATGACAAAAATAGTAAAAACAAACTTATTCAAGAATGGTTTGTTGGATTTTTCCAAAATATTATCATAAATAAGCGCAATCAAGTGAGAAAATTTATTAGTTTGGATGAGTTTATAAATATAAGAAATGACTGTTTTAGATGCCGATTGTGACACACTTTTCATTGTTTCCGTTTTTCTTTTCATCTCAATCATTCAATTTCTGAAAATTTAATTGAACAATTTCAAAATCTAAGAATTCATATAATTTTAGCAATTAATAATAAATAGGCATTAAAATGCTAAAAATTATATGTTTTCAAATGTTACAAATATTTGCATACAAATTAGATAATATCATTTTATCAAAGCTAAACGAAAATAATTAATAAAAGAACAACAAGATTATTGTATATTTTTACTCAAATAATTATTATCTAATAACAACAATAATACTAATAATTAATAATAATATTTTAAATTGAAAGAAACGGAAAAATACGAATTAAACATTGAAGAAAAAAAAAAATGGTGAACAAAAGAAAAAATAAAATAGAGTAAATCATTTTCCTATTAAAATTATTCGTTAAAGTAACAATTATAAACAAAAATTTTTTAATAACTGAATACGAATATCAAATTTAATACATTCATTTTCATCAATTTTTTAAAAGTGTCACTTTTTTTTTTTTATCGGAATATTAAAATCTAACAATTTGTGCTTATATTCTACAAATGATTACAACAAAAGACTAAATTTTTTTCATCGTAAAATGTTTAAATAATTTACAAAATAAAAGAAATTTAAATGCTAAATAAACTATTAATTCATACAATATGCATGCATTACAATATAGCAAATAGTAAAATGAAAATTGGTATGTTTAACGGAATTATTTCTATTAAATTTCAATAATGTTTAATTTGGACTGAAAAATTGTTAAAGCAATAATGATAAAAGATAAATATGGGAACTTTTAAAAGTAATGTTGATCGGATGATTTCGAGTAAATCCATTTGTTGAAAATGACAGCTGTCTTAACAATCTTTCTTAGTGCCTTTCTTTTCTTTTTCGCTTTTTTTTTTTTTTTTTTTTTTTTTTTTTTTTTAAACAAACTTGGAGAATTTCTACTACAAAATTGATTAGTTTAAAAAGTTTTGTTTATTTGTACATTTATACATAAACAAAACATACGGTATGCATTTATCATTACAATCTGTTTTGCATACAAAAATATTAAATTTCTTTTTTTTTGTTTCCCTGGGAAATTTCATTTTCGTACTTCGCCGTACTTAGCATTTTCATTTTTCTTTGCCTTTTTTCTTTCTTTTTTTTTTTTTTTTTTGAGGTACACAAATAGCTGAAATATTATTGGTTAATACACCAAAATTTGTAACATCGTTTCTACTTTACAAGCTGTCAATTTTTTACATCTTAAAAAGAGAATGAAAAATAAGTTTGAAAATCTTTTTTTTTTCCAAAAACGAAAGTCTTTTGTTTTTTTTTTTTTTTCAAAAAGAAAAGAAAAAGAAAAAATGCTATATGTTAGAAACGGGAAAAGTACTAAAATGCTAAGTATAAATTAATTCACTTGCAATTTCTTTTGTTAATTTAAAATAAATTTATGAATAAATCTGCTAAATGTTAAATTATCTCTGATAAGTTGAAAACGACCAAATATAAAAATAAGGATGAAAATCTTATAAAATATTGATTGATAATAAAGTAATCTGTTTTAAAAATTCTTTGAAATACCTAACAAAATAAATAAATTAATTGCTTTGATTACTTTTCTACATTCAAAATTAGTAAATTTTAAACTTTGATTAAATTTTTTTTATTTAAAAATAATATTAAAAAATTAATTCATCCTTTTATTAGCCTTTCCCATTTTCTTTCCTCTCTTCGTTTAAAAATTTGATAATAACAAATTTTGAATTAATGACATACGAATAGACAACAACATATTATAATGATATATCAATATATAAATTTCAACATTTTAAACAATAAATAGAAGAGCGAGAAGAAACACAAAGTGAAACAAATAAAATCTTAATTCAAAAAGAAAAAAAAAAAACAAATTCATTAAAAAACATTAGAAATTAAAGATTGTTGATATGTTGTGAAATGTTAAGCTATCAGTAAATAATTGTTAGGAAATTTGATGATGGTGGTGATAGTTTGAAAGCAAAACATGCAAAAGTTATAGATGAGAATAATATTTTCCTGATGACGTCATATCATTGTTTAACAAAATAATTTACTTTTTCTGACAGACTATTTTAAAATATTTGAAAACAAAAAAAAAAAAAAAAAAACAAAAAAAAAGCAAATAATAGAAATGAAGTTTGACAATCATTAATTAATAAACATTATGAAAAAAAAAAAGCGTTTTAAAAGGACAAAAAATTTTTAAATGAAATTTATGAAATTTTAAAAAGCTGATCATTTTTATAACTAAGAAATATTATAATTAAATTTTATAAGTTTTAATTAAAATTTATACTTACTCGTCTGCATTGAATTTGTATTGTAGTAATTTCTGCAAATACAAAAAAAAAACGAGAAAAAAAAACAAAATATGAGTTGGAATAGTAAAATAGGTAACGAAACAAAAATAAAAAGTAAAACGAAATAAGGAAAAGACAAAAACAAAACAAAATATAAATTAAAATAGTTTGATAATAGTTGCAAGAAACCATTCCATTTTACCTTAAATTTTATTTTAAAAAAAATTTTAAAACTATGACTGAATTAAAGTATTAAAATTATTAATTAATTAATTAATTATGAAATAGATGCAAAATGAAATCTTACTAATTTTCGTGTTCAATTAAATCAACAAAAAGAAAAAAAAATAATAATCTGAAAACAATTCCCAAACACATCAATGAAATTTTTAAAAAAGACATGATTTCTTTCGTTATTATCATATTTAATTCTCTTTTTTTCCTTCTTTAACTTTGGATTTTCATTCCTTTAATGAACGAAAAGATAATTTTCAATATTACCATTTAGAGATTAAAATAAAATTTTACTCGAAATAATGCCCAAATTCATTATCAAATCCTTCTTTCTTTTTTACCCTTTTCCTCTCTCTCTCTCTCTCCCTTTTTTTTAGTAATAATTGTTTCCATTTCTTGTTATTTTTTAGTAATAATTGTTTCCATTTTCTTGTTATTTTTAAGTTGTTTCTTTCTTATATAAAATTTCGAATTTTATTGTAAAATAAATTCGTGAGTTTCATATCTTTATATTTTTATTATATTTATTTCATTTATAAATTTAATTAGAAAATTAATGCTAAAGAAGAAAAAAAAAAAAAAAAAAACTGTAAATGAAAACTAGTCAAACATAACATTGATAAAAATAATTAATTGCTCTGAAATTTCTAATAATTATACCTAAACAATATTTAATACTTATAAAAGTTATTTAGCAATAAAAGAAAATTTCTTCGATGGAAATTTGATAAAAAAAAACAAGTAGTCATTGTTGTAATTAATACAAAAATGAATATTTTCATACAAAATATTTGCTATATGCATGAAAGATAATCGACAAAATTTAGTTCAATGAGTGAAAACATCTTTTTATTTCATTTGTTAATTTTTATTTAACTCATTTCACTTCATCATCATTTTTTCCATCTTTTTCATCTTACTTCATATCCAATCATTTTATCTTTAAATGACTATTTTCATTTCATTTTTCAGCATCATTCTTCTTCTTGTTTGCTATTTTCTTTACCCGTTATTACCAATATTTTCTTTTGAAAAAATTTCATATAAAACTACAGGAATGACTTATCAGTGTAACAATAATAATTATTACAATTATTATTGTTTTTATAACTTTTACTACTATCATCGATTATTACCGATTATTATCACTGTTACTATTATTATTACTGTTATTATTATTTTTATTTATCTCATTTGTTTCTTGCATATTTGTTCACTTTGACTCAGTAGTTTTCAAGCTTACATATTAGAACTTTGCATTCATATATATTTGCACGTTTAGGAGTAAAGTTTTTATTTACGTTTATTTTTTCTTCCTTTTAAAATTTAATCTATTAATAAAAAAAGTAAAATTTTCCTCATTTTTTGCTTTTCTTTTTTTATTTCGTTTGCAGTTTATTAGCAGCGATAACAAATTTTTCGAAATTTTTTCTATAAAATAATTTTTATTTGTAACAAATAAAAAAAAATTTTCTTTTTGGAAAAAATATAATTTTAACAAAATTATGAAAGAATAAGTGCAACATAACTGATTAGATTAATTAAAAATTTTTTCTTTGGAAATAAATTTTCATTAGGAATTTTAGAAAATTTCACCTGGAATGCAATTGGATCAGTTGAAATTGTTTGATTTGAAATTGAGAGCATCACTTTTACATCACCAATATACAGCTGATGATATTTAGGTCTTTCCTTTTCTAATACCCACTTTTTGACCATATTACTACCCCTCTCCTCCTCCTCCACCACCTCATCCTCCTTCAAACTAATATCAGCAATTTGATTTTAATTTTCTAACTTTTCTAACTTCTTACTTTGGTTATATCATCATTTTGAATATTATATATAAGCATGACAAAATTTGACATTTTTTAAATTGTAATTCTAATATCATTATGCTAAGTGTCTTATGTTATTAAATTAATAACAATAATTTATTTAATATTATTAATTTAATAATTGCCTTTCTACTAGTATAGTAGGATAAAGAATTTTCTTAATTATGAATCCATTTCTTAATTGCATTATTATAATGAGAAAAACTTGAAATATTTATACTTATGTTAATTGTATTCATTAATGTATCACTTTTAAATTTGATTTAGATGTTTGCAAAAATAATTCTATTACTATTATTGCATATAATTACTGTTTTTGCTGAAGAAAAGCCATTTTTGGATTTGAAGAAAGTCATTCGGGTACGGATGTTTTATCCTTGATAGAAAATTTAATTAATTAATTATTACTGTTATAATGAAGTATTTTTAAAGTCCTTCTTAAAAGTATTTTGTTTTTTTTTTCCTAAAAAAAAAGGAAAATAAAGTAGGAACAATTTTTCAAGAAGTAATTTTTAACATATTACATATTGATATTCTTTTCGACTACAGTTATCTCGTCTTTTATCCACTTTCTCAACTTATTTTTTATTGATTTTTGAAATTAATTAGTTTTTGTAATATCTAAGCTTTGAAATTTTAGGGTGCTCTTGATGTTGTTGCAGCAGTACCAACTTCACCAACAACAAATTATGATTTTGGTAATGCATCACAATTGACTGCTCCAAATGGCATTCAAGGAATCGATCCGATAATTCGTGAAAGGCTTTCAAGACTTTTTCATATTCCTCCGGATTTTGTCCATCGTTTAGCAGCTCAGGCTGGCTTTATTGATTATGAGCCAACAACAGCCAAACCATTTCTCAATTATTGGTTAGGGAAAAAAATTTTTTAATTTTGAATAATTTGAATAATCATAATGCTTTATATTGTACTTGTCACACGAGCATTGTCATTTATTTACACTTCTAGGTTCAAATCTAAACCAAATGTGCCGCATGTCAGTCTAGAATACAGTACATCATCTGCTTTTATTCAGGTGAATTTTATTTTTTCTAAGTTTCACGAGCATATTTTAACAGAATTTTTAATGAAAAAAAAAAAAATAAATAAATAAATAAATAGTGCAGACTGTTATTTTGGAACAATTTGACAGTTTTTGAAGTCAACCATGCGTTATTGGAAAGTAATGATGCAATAACCTATCTTAAAACAGCAAATACTTTAAAATAAACTATTTAAAAATGTTATAAGTTAAAATGATTTTTTCATTACCTCTTAAAGGTAACAATGATTGTAGGAAGACCCATCAGTTGCATCCAATTCAGCTAATAATGATTTATCAATAAATGTTCGACAACAAGGGTAAAAGTTTACCAGTGATTTGCTTAGATCTCTTTCTCGATAAAAATAATATTGCTATGTTATGTGTGGTGTGGTATTAATGAAATTTTAATTTTCTTGCTTGAAGTACTTCACATAACTTTAGTTTATATAAAATTTATATAAAACCAAGTTATGTATTATTCAACTGATTTTCGTTGTCAACTTATGAGAATAGGGAATAAAGATAAAAAAGAATGAACTAATGAAAATAAAAATTTCAAATTGATAAGGATTTGAACGATTTGTTACTACTTTTTTTTTTTTTTTTTTTTTTTTTTTTTTTATGAAATCATATTTATCATTCTTTCTGTCATAATTTTTTCCGATTCATATGCCACTAAAATTATTCCTTCTCATCATCAAAATTTCACAGTTACCTAGATGTGTTGAGAAAAAAGAAAGTTATGAATTAGTAATTGCAGCAGATCTGTTAATGCTTCACAAACTATTGCAAACTATACCATAACTGAACAACAAGCTGCTATTTTACAATCCGAACAACAAGCTGTTATTTTTCAACCTGTCATTAAAGATGGTCATTTGTAAGTTTGTTAAATTTTCATCATTTCGTAAGAAGTTATCTAAGAAAAATTTTGCACTTTTTCTTCTACACTAAAAATATCTCCTTTTTTTTAAAAAAAATCATTAAATTAGTGCTCGTATAATTTAAAATTTTATTCAGATATTATCAACCATTCGGTGTTTTACCACAGATTGGTCAACCAAAAATGATTATTTATGGTGGGCGATTATACATGGCTACACCATTACAAAGTGAAACACATGCTCAAGTTAGCTTATTCACATACTGTATTATCGCAGCTATCGTAAGAAAATTTCATTGCTACCTTATAGCATATACTATATTATCTCAACTATCATAAAATACTAGTTACTTTGCACTATAACTGTGTTATCCAAATTATTTGTGAGAATTTTTATACCATATACCCCATAACATGTACAGTATACCGCATTATCTCAACTACCGTAAGAAACAGTTACTTGATATTACTGTATTATCACAATCACCGTAAAATTTTAGCTACCTTATTCCATATACTGTATTATTCAAACTATCATAAAATGTTAGTTGTCTTATACCATACTCCAAATAGTGTGAGAATTTCAAATACCCTATACCATATACCGTATTGCTTTAGCTGTCAGATTTTTAGTTACTTAATACAATATGCTGCATGATTACAATTACCGTAAGAAAATTTTAGCTGCCTTGTGTTACATACTGTGTATTAACATACGTGTAATTTCATTTATTCCACTTCAAATTCAAGAACTGTAATTTTTTATGATGATAATTTCCTGCAAAATTTCTTTTGAATGCGCATGATTATAGAGTGAAAATAGTGATTGTACTGTAAAGTCAGCACATTAAAATTGCTAACGCAACATTAACTGATAGCCAACGGTAACTAAACCTTTCTAGAATCAAAAACATTTTATTTAATTTTTATAAAAAAAAATTTCCTTTTATTATTTGAGGAATTAATTTCTAAACGAAATTAGTTTATTCATTATTATACAATAAAGGAGGTAACAACTGGTGGTATGATTGCGCAAAATTCAAGCGATGTGATTGATGAAAAGGATAACGATCATAAAATATCAGATATACCAAATGAATCAAATGAAGAAATGCATTATCGTCGTATTTATGCGCAACATATGAAAGCTGCAGAAGATGCACAAGTTCAAGCTGATAAACTTCAAAAAGTAATAATACTTTTTGAACATATGTTTCACGCATGTTTAATTTTATGCATATTTGACCTAAACAATCAAAAACTAAGATTTTCATCCGAATTTAAACGCTACCATTTGTTTGTTTTTCAGACATGTTAGTAAATATTATATTGTTACATGTTTTTATTCAGTATATGATTTTAAGGTTTGTATCAGCAAATTAAGGTGTAATATTTTAATAGCACGCTGAGAAATTCGAATACACTTCTAATTCTTATTGTTCGTTATTTGAGCATATCTTTTATTCTTATCAATGATGCATAACGATGACCTATTTATTTATAAGAAATTTCACTTTTGAAATTTTAATTCATACCTTGGGTCATTTGTTGGATTCCAAATTTTTATTAGAAAGAAGATGAAACTATTCATACAGGTCGTTGTACCAGATGCTTCATTGATCGAAATACTTGGAATTGAAAGTAAACCGAGGACTTCATCATCCTACCGTAAAGTACACAAAAAGAAACTTGAAAGCCATAACGCGCTACATCAATTCAATTTGCAGAAGAAACCGGTTACTGCATTATCAATTAAACTTATTATTCATTTTTAGTTAAAACAAAAATTTTGAAACTAATGAGATTTTAAAAATTAATCTTTTTTTTTTTAATTTCTTATAACTTAAGCTATTAGAATAGATAATAAATGTACATTTTTTTTTTTTTATTTTCTCAAGATTAAATATTTTTCTAGCACGAAGTTAATTCAAAATTGGCGAGAGAAGATCAGATTGGAAGTGATCAAAAGCATGAAGTGATCAACTCTCGAATGACAGCACAAAGAATTTCTTCATTCAATCAGCCTGCTGAACCTGCAGCAGATTTTGCCAATAAAGTAGAAAATTCATATTCGTCATCTTATCAGTTATCATTCATTTGATTTCTCTTGCAACAATCATTTCAAAACATCACATATAAATTTATTCCTACCTTTATCTAGTTATTTTAGAATTTTAAACAATTTGATAATGCCGATAACTCAGCAACTGATGCAGCAATTGAAGAGCAAACGACAACAAGTAACGAGCAGACTGATAAGCTTTTAACTGGAATAATTTCGCATGAAAAGGTAAACTTTATATTTAGTTATGAAATTTCGCAGCTAAACTTAATCTTTCTAAACTTTAATGTAAATTTACTAATTAAAAATTGTATTTTGTTTAAAAAAATTTTTTTGATAAGAAAATTTGATATAAACATGAAAAAAGTTGATTTTAGACTGACAAATATGAAAATAACGAGTTTATGAATAAGAATCAATCGATGCAACGAATTTTGACATTAAGACATAGAATGGCTACTGATAGAAAAAAATTCGCGGAACGAAAGCGATTGCTATCATCAATGAAGCAAAAAGTGATTAAAGAAGAAGATATGAATAGAGAAGTAAATTCGTTTGTAATTTTCACAAAAAAAATAAAGAAAGAATTGTAATCAAGTTGAAATTTGATAACATCATAAGATAATTTTAATGCAAAAAACAACTTTTAAATAATTTTGATTTTGATCATAAGAGTAATTTTTATGCAAAAAATGGGCAAATTTTTAAATAACTAAGATATTTTATCAATATATACCATTTTTTTTTTAAAAAATAATTTTTTGTTTAATAATTTTAATAAAAAAACAATTTTCAAAATTTAGCTTTTTCATATAAATAATATGATAATATCAACTTAATAATATAAAACATAAAATATGCAATTGTATTTATTCAACATTCATAGTCATTGTAGATATTTCGCCGTCACTGTTACAATATTCGATCATTAGCACAACAATTTGGTTTCACAGATATTAAACAATATGTAATATCCAATTGCATATTTATCGAGAATTATTATCCGGAATTTAATTGTAGAGAAGCTGAAACATCCATTAATAAATGTGAAAAGCTATTTTGAGTGTCAGTTTTTGATTAATTAATTTATAATTTACATGAATTCATGACTGTAAATTGTTATAATTTATTGCATTTTTTTTTTTTTTGTCCTAACAACAATTGCAGAAAAAAAAAAGAAATTATTGTTAAGCATTATTATATTATTAATTAATTTTGAATTTTCGTTATTCTCATATTTTTTCCTCTCTTTCTCTCCCTCTGTTTTTATCATAAGATTGAAATATGAAAAGAAAAGAAAAAATGATTGAAATTTCTTGAATTGAAGCAAACTCATTTCACTCTTTTCTGCATGAATATTAAGAAAAATTTATGTATGAGTGATTCTTTCCTTTTTTTTTATCTTTTTCTTTTTTCATTTTTAAATCAAAATAAAATGAAAATCAATAAAAATTTCCTTTGCGTGTTTTTATCAAACATAAATGCAATGAACATATATTTGTGCCAAATACAATAAAATATTGCAAATGAAAATGAAAAGGCTATGTGTGACAAAGTATGACGACAAATGTTAGATAAAACATCAATGCAAATAATGACAATGACATATAAAATGACAAATTTGAGAAGTTTACTGCGCTTAAAATTGATTCAAAAAAAATAACTTTAAGCACAACCATTCTTTTCTCTCTAAATCATACCAACAGTTTTGTTTATTTTGAGTAGAAACTTGTCTAAATAACAAAGTTGAAAGAAGAAAAAAAAAGTGGAATTATTTTTTGCAATTGAATTTTTATTATCGTTTCAATATCATTTCGTCAATAAAGTATTTTAACTTTTTATTATTGGTTATGAAAAAGTGAGAAAAGAAAGTGGAAAAAAAAATTAAGTTTTGTTTTGTTTATTAAAATTTATGCTAATTTCTTTAGATATTTGTTATTAAAATTGTTGATGTTTTTACAATTGTTGAAATTTTTAATCCAATGTTATGTTATTAAATATAATTTCCTTTTCTTTTGCAAGATAATATTTGTTTGAAAATTCTAAGATTAAAATTCAGTCCAAAATTAGTGTTAGAATGTTTTTTTTTTAATAAAAATGATACATTTTTCAGGGATAAAAGTTCTTAGAATCTTATTGATGAAATAACATTCGTAACAACAATAATAGTAGCGGTAACAATAATGATAATTTATAATAGTATGATTTTTTTGTTAAAATGCCGTTATAATTAATTTTAGCAATTTTAAAAAACTTTTGATTACAATGAATCATTGAAATTATAATGATTTGCATAATGGATATTTTATAATAATAAACTTTGTGTGAAAAGAAAAAGCAAAAAATGAAAAAATGCTTTTTTTTTTTTTGATACTATTGTTGTTGTTGTCATTATTGAGCTATTGATTTATGAGGAAAAAAAAAAGATCAAAATTTTATTAAATTTTGATCTTTCGTTTGTTCTTTTCTTCGTTCTTTTTTTTTCTCTTTTTTCTCAATAGAAGAAATATTTGCAAATATAAGTCAATTATGTTAAAACAATGAAATGAAATTTTGTTGTATTATTTATCGATCAAAGTTATTAATTTTGTTGAATTGTGAATGTGAACATTTTTTCATTGTAATGGTCACTTCATTTCATTCAACATAGTTCATCAGATAAACTCAAAAATTTCATCATTTGCTTACAAATTATTCGCACATCACCTAACATTTATTATCAAACAACTAACTTTTCATTCATTCTTTTCATCTTCTATCATTTTTTTGAAAAAAAAAAAAAAAAAAAAACTTTTTCACTCTCAATTTTTTTTGCTTCAAATGAGAAAAAAAATTTTTTTTCCTTTATTTGGTTTTACTATTTATTAAAATAAATTTAAAGTTATCATCAAAAAAGAAAAGAGAAAAACACTTATTATATGTATTAGAAAAAGATATTTGTTTAGTGTTCAGGATTATTTCACTAATTTGTTGCGTGTATTTTAATTTTGAAACAAAATTTATTTGAGTTTAAAAAAAAAGAAAAAGAAAAAACCAACAAGTTTGATGTTTCCACTGTGACATCAGAAATGTCGCACCTTACTTTTTTCTTTTTTCTTTTTCTTTCTCTTTTCCGTTCTTTTTTTTTTTTTTTTTGTTTGTTTGTTTTCCAAATTTATTTTATTCTAATAATCATTTGCTAAAATTGCAGTATTGTTTCATTATGATTAACTTTCTCGAAAAATTTTTTCACTAATATTTTTCTCTTACACTGCTGCAAAGTATTTCGTATATTTTTCATCCATTGGATGAATCATAAAATTTTCGAGTTTATGAGTTAATCAATTCATATCGATTTGTTCCCAATAATTTTGTATTATGGTTTATTCTTTTTTTTTTTCTTTACATTGAAAATTCATTGGTTCACAAAAAAAATTTTTTTTTATATAAGAAAAATTATTTAGGGCGGATTATTTATTGATCATTGAGGGATAATATAATAATTTATTTAGATATGTACATATACACACATACACATACACATTGAATATATTTGATAGAATTTTATTTTGCTAAAATTATGCTTATTTTTTAAATGAAATTTTTCATCAATTATATTGAATGTAATCTTTGATCTTAATCATCTACTCTTTGCCCAAAGTGGTGATCGTTATTTACTATTATCAAAATTTATAGAAATTTCAATGATATTTATAATAATTTGCTATAATCATTGTATTCTTTCATTATGATTAACTTCAAAATCTATTTCTTGCAAAATGAATTATAAATTTAAGAGTGAAATTTAATTTCGAAAAGAAAAAAACGAAAAAATTAATATTAATATCTATAACCTTTGTTTTGGCATTGTAATTAAATTATATAATAAATTATAATTAAATTAAAATTATTTTAGCAAATGAAAACAAACGAATAAGCAATGCAATTTGGTATGAAACCACCAAAGTGTATTAAATAGAAAAGTGTCAAAATTGGTTTTAGATTTGAATTAACATTGTCATTTATCATGCTACGAAAGTATTCGTTTTCATTTTGTCTTCATGTGGTCTGCAAAAATTTTTACTTTCAATTCTTTTCAAACTTTCAACTTTTTTTAATTAAAATAATTAATTATTTGTGCTTTCAACATATTTAGTTTGCAATTCAAAACAAAAAAAAAAAAAAAAGAATAAACAACGATTTTAAAAAAATAGCACAAAACTTTAAAGACATATTTCTAATCTCTTTTAAGTTTTCATTTAAATAAAAAAAAAGTAGAAACTTTTTAAAATATTATCAAAAATTTTATTTGTCGGTTCGTTTTTTTTTTTTTTTTTTTTAAGAATAAATTGTTTTAAGTGTCTTAGAGGAATTTTTTCAAAGACTGTGTTCTCATATACTTGAACAACATAACATGTTGTATTCCGTCTTTCATCCTTTCTCATCCTTCTTTTTTTTTTTTCACCCACTCTCTCTCTCTCCCTTTTTCTCTTGTTGAGGTTTCTCTTTCTTTTTGAACTAAAAATTTCTCAAAAAATTTTTACCTTTCATTATGAGGGAAGAAGAGAGAAAGAGAGGGAGAGAGAAAAGTGAAAAAAAAAAAGCGGAAAAAAAAGATTAAAAAAAGAAAGAAAATGTTGTAAAGTATAGTAAAATGCAGTGAAATCTACTACATTCGGATAAAAGTTGTTAAATTTTTTCAATTTGCATAATCTTATTATATAACTAATAAATATTTATTAAAATAAACGAATTTTTTAACAATTTAAAGAAAAAAATGTATAATTTCAGTAAGTAATTTTTCTGTTTCTAATTTTTTAATTTTATTAATTTATTCAAAATATATTTTATTGCATTATTAAATAAATAAATAAATAAATAATGAAATAACTATGTGAATAGGTAACTATAAAATTATTTAGTTGTATGAAAAAGTTAACTAACAAATTATTGCATTCCTGTTTGTCGTTTTTGAAATATTAATTTAATTTTATGCAATATTTGAACAAAAATAAAAAAAAATACATTGATTCGCCCCAAATAAAAAAAAAGAGATATAATCAATTACCTCTTTTGCTAAAAATTTTGCACCGATATGTATTCCTCATATTTACAGATTTTATTCGTTTAATTATTATTAATTCAGTTTTTTTTCTTTTGCATAAAAATCTAAAAATCATTATCACTTCTTTTTTTTTAGTATTATCATTTTTTCATTTAATACTAAAAATTTGTCAATTTTACTTTTGAAATTTCAAACCTTATGGTATCAATTTCAATTTGATTTACTCATTAAAATATATTTATTCAATAAATTTAAAAAAAAAAAAGATAGTAAACAAATACTATGATATCATATTTCGTTTCTTTTTCTTTTTTTTAAATTAATTGCAAAAATTTAGTTTTAAAAAGAAGAGAAAAAAAAAAAGAGAGAATAACGGCTATATCACCCTTTTTTGTTAATCTATCATACACACATATCTAATCTATCACTTCCCTCTGTTATCATCACTTAAAATATATCCATCAAATTGAATAGTTTATAAGAACGATGTGAAGGAGAAAGCTAGAAAGCACTAAGATTTAGAGTGATAGTAAAGTCAAGACCAAAACGATTTGATAAGCATTGATAGCAATCACTTTGATATTGCTAACTAAAGCATCAATCTGCCATACTATCATTATCACATTATCATTATTGTCATCATTATCATCAGTAGTAGCAGTGGCAGTAGCCGTATCACTTAGTTTTAAGAGAGAACGAATGACGAAGAATGAAGAAAGTTGAAAGTTTTGAAAATGCTCAAACTAAAAAGCTTCAACTATACCACAAATTTCGACATCTTTACATCATATCAGATCACATACACACATACATACATCCATACACACATATATTATCAGATAAATGATAACCAATCCTACCATTTTATCATTTTACTTTTTCATGCTTTCTTTAACTTATAATCACTTTCTTTTGTTTCTTTTTTCTGCTTTAATTTATTTTAATTCTTTTTTTAAAAAAATATGACCTTTTTAATTTAATTGTTTTTTGGTGAAAAAAAAGTTTTTTTTTTTTTGCCA